GCCGAAGTGTTTTTTTTCGTAAGCGATTCAACGGCCGACCGAGCAAGCGAGCAAGGAGCGAGCGAGCGAGGAAGGGTTGGGAGTCCAACAAGCGGGAAAGACAGCAAGCGGGAAAGACAGCAAGCGGGAGTCCAGCAAGCGGGAAAGACAACGGCCGGCCGAGCAAGCGGCGAAGACAGCAAGCGAGCACGGAGCGAGCGAGCGAGGAAGCGAGCGAGCGAGGAAGCGAGCGATCGAGAGTGAGAGTAGCGAGGAGGAAGCGAGCGAGGAAGGAATGAGCGAGCACGAGGAGGGACCGAGCGAGGAAACGAACGAGGAGGAAGAGAGCGACCTGGCGAGCGAGGAGGGAGAGCGAGCTAGCTGTCTCGAGCGAGGAGGGAGCGAGGAGGGAGCGAGCGAACGGTCGAGCAAGCGAGGACGGAGAGTAAGCGAGCGAGCGAGAAGGAGAGAGAGTGACCGAGGGAGATAGTCAGAGAGAGGGCGAGCGAGATAGAGCGAGCAAGCGAGGAGGGAGCCAGCAACCGAGCGAGGAGCGAGCCAACGAGGGATCGAGCGAGGAGCGAGCCAACGAGGAGCGAGGAGCGAGCAAGCGAGGGTGTGTAGCCTTCCCCTGACCTTCCTACCACCTTCCTCTCATCTCCCTTTCTTCCCTGTTTTCCCCGTTTCGCCTTCTCCCCGCCTTCCCTTTCGCCTTCTCCCCGCCTTCCCTTCGACCTTCTCCCCGCCCTCTCCCCGCCTTCCCTTCTGCCTTCTCCCCGCCTTTTATCCGTCTTCTACCCGCCTTCTCCCCGCCTTCTCCTCGCCTTCTCCCCGCCTTCTCCCCACCTTCTCCCCTCCTTCCCTTCTTGTTCCCCCGCCTTTTCCCCGCGTTCCCTTCCTTTGTCGCCTCCGGCCCCGCCTTTTCCCCGCGTTCTCATCTTCTGCCCCTCCTCCCCGCCTTCCCTTTCTTATTCCCCCGCCTTCCCTTCTTGTTCCCCCGCCTTTTCCCCGGGTTCTCATCTTTTGCCCCTCCTCCCCGCCTTCCCTTTCTTGTTCCCGCGCCTTCCCTTCTTGTTCCCTCGCCTTTTCCCCACGTTCTCATCTTCTGCCCCTCCTCCCCGCTATCCCTTTCTTGTTCCCCCGCCTTCCCTTCTTGTTCCCCCGGCTTCTCCCCGCCTTCCCTTCCGCCTTCCCCATCACCTTCTCTGTTCGCTGGCTTCGGCGCCTTCCCCCTCACCTTTTTTGACTGCCTTCGGCGCCTAAAGCTTGTCGCGCAGCCCAGAACATTAATCTAAAAACACTAATCTAAAAACGGAGCGAAGGTTCCGATAAGATCTCTTCTTCGAGGTAGAATAAGATTTCTTTAGGCCTACAAAAGTTCTTTTATTTTTTCTATTTAATTTTGTTCTTTTTGTTTCTTTCTCCTCCAAGACTTGTTTTTTCTGTCTTCTCTCTTCGTCTTCTTTCTTTCTTTCTTTCTTTTTTTTTTTTTTTTTTTTTTTTTGGAAAACGTATACCTTTTTTTGCAATGAACATAGGGACGAGGTCGGGAGTTATCCAGGCAGCCTTAGCCTCCCTCTACCTGCTGGAAACGGGGTCCAGCGTCCCAATCATTCAGCACTTTCCAAAAAGTAAATCCTTTTAAGCGCGGGGTAAAAAAGAAAAAAGAGCAATCTAAACCGAGCTCATAGTAACTGCAGATCCTGCAGTACCCTGTGGCCTCAATCAGGATTTCTTTCTTTCTTCCTTTCTTTCGTTCTTTCTTTCTTTCTTCTTCTTCTTCTATATTTCTTTCTTTGCTTTTTTATTTTGTTGGGACAGGCGTTCGGGGGGCGGGGGGAAGGTCGGGTGAAGGCGGGCGGATGGCGGAGTGAAGG